CCTGTGACATTACCTACATAACATTCGTTGTTCTATCTCTTTCTTTTCCCTTATTGACAATCTTAACTAGTACTATCTATGCAGGATTTATCAGTGTACATTCCTTCCTTCATGTTCATTCTCATTCTTTTTGCACAGCTATACTGCGCATAGCCTACCTTTCTTTTACTATATAAACCCCTGTATTTTACCTTGTAAAAACAAGAAATTCAATCCAGACTTCTTCTCTAATCTCAAGTCTACTTCTTACTGCTACTTGTAATCCAGTGTGGTCACAATACTTCCCACTGCTACCACTGTTAACTGCTGTCATTGTCACTTGTCACTTTTGAAAGTCATTGTCATCCCTTTTGATTAGAGTCCTTCTGAGCACTACAGTTTGTGCATCAGGAGCCTGCTATCACTGGGAACCTTGTCGTCCTCAAACCTACCTTGTGCTACAATTAGCAAGGTAGTGCTCGTCTATACTCTTCGTAAAACCCCTATCTTTTATGTTCCAACTATCCCTCCTCCTCAAAACCCACACCCATACATCTCTGGGTTTGACTTTGAAGGATTGTCATACATACCACCCCATGAACTACCAGAGCACCCACTGTTCTAGGAGGCAAAGCCCATAAACAAGTTCTGTGGAATCTGGGAGGATTATGTGTTTGTTTGTTTTGTGTGTGGTTTTCTAACAAGACAAGTAGAAGGAGTGAAGAGGTGACAAAAAAGTGGATTAAGATGGAGATCCAGAAATGGCCATCTGGTGAGAAGAAAAAAGACAGTGAAGGACCCATGGTGGGGCTAAGTAAGGGAATAAGGGTAAGGGAGAACAACAAAAGCAAGGGTGCAATGTGTAGCCAGTGGCAACACAAAAGTTTGCCAAAATGCCAAAAGTACTGAATGGAAAGCAAAGTTGATTGCCTAATACATGTGAGTGATGATCAACCACAAGTTTGAAAAAGGCAATATTAATTATTATTCCACATATGTGGCGCATGTAAGGACCATTTTATTATTTTCTTATCTTCGCTATGTCTTGGTTCTCGAACACTTTCCCCATTATGCCTCTGGCTCTAGGGCTAGAGGTATCGTTTGCCGTTCTACTTCTCATAGCCCTCACAGGCTTTCTTAACCATCACTACCATTTTATATCAGAGATCAGAGACTGGGTATCGCTCCCAGCCAGCCAGCACACTGGGTAGGGACTGGTAGTAGGCATCTCGCCAACCAGCTCCAAGCCCCAGTAAAGCCTGGTAATACTAATAACGCCTTATCTAGGATCATACCTCATCATGAGGATATGGTTCCTGAACACGCGTGACAATCCTCTATTATTAGTACAAGTCTCTCACCTGCTGATTAATCAAGTTAAAAGTCGTACGATAGTTACTCTCCCTTTTTCTTATTGGTTGATTAATTCCTCAGACCACCTTTCGTATATTCTCCTTTCGGTCTGAGGAACGGACAGTTCCCTATATAAAGCCTTACCTATTCATGTATGGTTCCTTAGTTTTCTATTACTGAATTTACCCGCTTTACTCCTCAACAAAAACCTTTGAAGCTTACCTCTCAAAGTCCTCTACTCGCTATATTTACTAGCGTCTGTCGACCTCAAGCTCATTGAACCCTTTACTCCCTGCAAGTGCAGAAGGAGACAGGTTTCGTTTTTGTTATAGTTTATCGTTGCCTCACAGCGCAAAGGCAAGTCTTTTGAATATTCGCTTCACTTTTGACACCTGTCCATGCTATCAATCAACTTTGGTGCATGACAACAACTTCAGGGATTAATGAGCAGGTGAGCAAATATGCTAATAATAGGTTTTGTCAGGCATGTTCAGAGACTGTATCCTCATGATGAGGTAAAATCTGTAACAACCTAGAGTTCATATACTCTGGCGCACAACTAGAACTAACTATAAAGGTAGTGAGGGGAGTGGTTACCCTTAGGATAGGACCAAGCTAGTTGTGGGTAAACAACAGGAGGACTTGCTAAGGAGTCTCCTGGATCTATTGCGGTATATATACTACTACAGTTTGTTTGTACATATGGTACTATACAGTTGATAAGGCAGTGGCTGATGATGTCAGAGGGCA